AGGATATGGCTACCTTTTGTTAAATCTACACTTTCTAAATATCAAAAAAAGGGAAATGGGGTATAAATAAAGTTTTGTATAATCTGTTTAAAATATGAATTTTATTTGCTTAATATTAGGGCTTTTGCCCCATTTCTGTAAGTCTCTTGGGACCCTATGCAGAAGCTGTTCTCATTAAACACTGAACAGTTGAGTCCATTCTCTGGTACTGGCTACAAATTCAGTTTCATATCCTACTTAACCATTTAAATAAACTGAAATATTTCTAAAAAAACAAACAAACAGATAGATAATAAAGATAAATAAGCTATATACAGATCCACACTCCCAAATTTTATAAAAATCTGAACCCCCAAAATATTTCCATAACTCCCTTATGGCAAAACATGATCTGAAGTGACATGAGGTTATGTAAAGCTCTTATGTACTTTGTTTGATGTGAATATTATTTTTTTCTGCTGCAGATACCATGTTCAAACTTGGGATGTTAAAAATGATGAGAAATGGAAAAAATGGAAATAAAGTCTTTGTAAATAGGGAAGGGTGGAGGGCGTGAAGGGAGGGCTAGGAATGGGAAAAGAAATGAGAACCAAGATGCATTATGTAAAGGTACAATTCCCAATGAGAATGTACCAATAAAAGAATTTAATTAAAAAAACCCCCAAACTTGGGATGTTACCTCAGATTCCTGTTGGGATGTTATGCAAGACATGATTTACACCCGATTACCTTTCAAAAATCTGAAAAATCTGGGGCCAGGGATTTAGCTCAGTGGTGCCACTGCCTGCCTCACAAGTGCAAGGTCCCAAGTTTGATTCCTGGTACCAAAAAAAAAAAAATCTGAAAAATCCAGAATTCCAAACTAGAGATCAAGAATTTAGGTAAGGGCTTAGAAGCTCTGATATGTGAGATGCTGATATGTGATCTGTAGAAAAGTCATGCTAGGAGAGAAGAGGTAAGATTGTGCAGTGGGGACCCGGTGAACACTTTAAAGAAGGTGGTCAGGGAGGCTCTCCACCAGGAGATGAGCTTGGAGGTAAGAGGTGAAGGGGGGAGGGACTGGGTCAAAATCCAATAGGGCTAGGGTGAGCAGCAGCACAGGCAAAGGGAACAGGAAATGCAAATGTCCTGAGTTAGGGTGTCTGCTTGTTGTTTTCAGGGAGCAGCAAAGAGGCCTGTGTGTCTTGAGTAGAACGAGCAAAAGGGAGACAGAGGGAGAGGAGGTGGGGAGATGTGGGGCCCATGGGCCCTGGGGGATGGGACAAGATGGAAGTGTGAGAGGCTGAAGACAGAGGATAAGCAAGATCATGGAGCCCTCCGCTTGACCTGGCAGGGCTCTGTTTCAGAATTCACACACGTGAGAGTCGAGGTCCCTCTTGAACTTGAAGCTGCGTCTTGTTAGGCCAGGAAAGAAGCAACACTTCAGCACCGCGGACAGAACCACGGGCGCCCGGTCTGGTGCTGTCCGCGGTTCTGATTTAAAGCCCAGACGACAAAGGGTAAATAAACTAGAGCCCGAGCCGCCCCCGCTTTGCTCTCTTTGCCAACCCGAGATGGGTATCTCAGGTGGAAATACAAAATAAAAGTACTCCATATCATGGGTCTCAAAACATCGTAAACCCAACTCAGCCAAAACAGAGCTCTGGTTCAGAAATCAGAACAGTGGGCTGGGGATGCAGCTCAGTGGTGTGGTGCCTGCCTGGCAGGTGCAAGGTCCTGAGTTCGATCCCCAGTATCAAAAAGCAAAACAAAACAAAAAACCCCCAAGAAATCAGAACACGATCGTCCTCTACTCCAACCCTTTATCTGGATTTCCATGGGACTCTAAGTAAAAGCCCACCGTGTCCCGATGCTCCAATGACATTGGCCCTGAAGGTGTACCTGCACATGTGCCTGACTTACCTCCTCGCCTCTCCATGCCTTTCTCAAATCTCACCTTCCTAGTGAGGCCAACACTGACCATTCTATCCAAAACTGCAAAAACAACCCCCCCCAAATTGTGTATCCTTGACATCCGCTCCTACTGTTGAAATTTCTCATTACGTTCCATGAACACTTTCTCTCTCACTTACTAGGATTGAAACTTCCCCCCACTAGGAAGTCGGTTTCACCAGAAGACTGTTATTTGGTGTTTTTTTTTTTTTTTTTTTGGTATTGGGGATCGAACTTGGGTCCTCACGCTTGCGCAGCAGGCAGCGAAACCACTGAGCTAAATCCCTGGCCCAGAAGACTTATTTGTTCGCAGCTAGGTCCTCAGTGCCCCAAGTTCTGATACACAGTAGGTGCTCAAAAAAGGCTTTTTTGGGCTGGAGGTGTAACTCAGTGGTAGAGCACATTGCTTAGAGTGTGCAAGGCCCTGGATTCAATCCCTAGCACTGCAAAATCAAATATTAAAAGCCGAATACAAAATAAAACATTTGTCAAGTGAATTAGTCTCTTGAGCACGCCAATAAACCAAGGATAGGTGCAGGCTCACCCTGAGCTTCTCACTTCCCTGTTCTGAGCCCTGGGCCCATCCCCACTTACAGGCAGATATTGCTCTCTATGGTTCTTTTCTTAAGTACTGGCAGCACGGTGGACTGACTCAGGACTTCAGGGAGTGAACCCAGAACTTTCTCACTGAGCCACATCCTCAGCCCGTATGTGTGCATGTATGTATTTTGAGACAGAGTCTTTCTAAATTACTAAGTTGCTCAGGCTGGGCTCAAACTCTCAAGCCTCCTGCCTCAGCTTCCCAGAGTGCTGGGATGATGGTGTGCACCGCCACACCCTGCTGAGCCTCTCTATCTTAAGCACACTTCTGTAAAGACATGAAGACAGAATTCTGAGAAGTGAGAGGAAGAACTGTCTTCTTGAGACATGTGGCACAAATCAGCATCGCTGCTGAAGGTCTCACTCAGCCTACAGTTTGAGCACCTAGTGGATGGCAGGTGCTGTGCCAGGAGCTAGGGACATGGCAGGGAATGAAACAGACAGAGAATTTATTCTTGTGGAGCCCATGTTCTACAGGGGAGAAATGCCATCAAATAATGTTGACATCAACGTTGACACTGATATTTGAAGAGAAATACAAATAAGTAGTTAAAGAGTGCAGGCTAAGTGGGGTGCTATGGTTCATGCCTGTAGTTCCAGCTACTCAGGAGGCAGAAGAATTGCTGGAGCCTAGGAGTTCAGCGCCAGCCCAGGCAACCTGGTGAGACTCTGTGTTGCAGCTTTGGCCATGAGGTGATGGAGAGTCTCTCTAAGTAGGTGACATTCCACCAGAGACCTAAGTGGGGTTTTAAAAAATAACCAAATGGTTATGTGCAAGCTGCCGGCTTAGGCAAAGGAACAGCGAGTGCAGAGGACCTGAGTTGGGGCTGTGTCGAGCATGGTCCTGTGCATGTAAGTGTGTGCTGTGTGTCACTCCTCGGTGCTTGTGCACGGGGGGAGTTGCAATGAAATACTGGACATCAGTTGGGGCGAGGCTATGTGTGACAGTGCAGTTTAAGTGTCTCACAGTGTGAGTGTGTAGTGGCAATGGCATAGTTGTATCACAGCATGTTCTAGTGTGTGTTTGTGCAAAGAAAAATGTAGGACAGTGTGTGAGGGTGCTTTGTGTCAGGGCAGGGTAGAGCTGCAAGAATGTTGATGATGGAAATTCTGGAGTGGAATAGAGAGAGATGCCATGACTTCGTGTGTGTGTGTGTGTGTGTGTGTGTGTGTAGGGGTCCCCAGCTGTGTGAGTGGGTGTATGCGGAATGTTGTTGAACAGTATTCTGGCCCCAGAGGGAGAGAGAAAGCCCAGGAAATCACAGTTCCGCCCTACCCCTGGGTCTCCAAGCAACAGCACCACTTTGAAGTTACCAGGAAACAAGGTTGCCAGGGCAACACAGGCGTGAGTGGCAGCTCAGGGGCGAGGTCTGGGATACCCAGCTAGTGATCATGATTATTCACCTTGTTTCTCCCTTTCTTACAGTTTCTCATCAATACTTCCTGGCTTCATTGATTTACTCAGAATGTGTTTTAGAAACTTCAATGTACCCGTTCTGAGTCCTGGGAAGACACAAGTAAATAAGGCAAAAAGGTCCATATTGTATTTGTCCTTCAGTCTTCCAGTCCCTTTTTGTCTCTCCTGCCTCCTTTTTTGGCTTCGGTTCTCCCTCCCTTTAGCACAAGTGAGACTCAAGCACCCCCCAGGCTATTTGCCCTAGCACTGAGGAGGCTGAGGCAGAAGGATCGTGAGTTCAAGGCCAGCCTGGGGTACATAGTGAGACCCTGTCTCAAAAAACCAACCAAGGGCCGAGGATGTAGCTTAGTGGTGCCACGCCTGCCTGGCAAGCGCAGGGTCCTAAGTCCTAAATTCATCCTTGGTTCCTCAAACAACAACAACAACAACAACAACACACACACACACACACAAACCCAGGTCAGTGACGGCGGGTCCTCTTGGAGCGGCCTTGGCGGGGGGGGGGCGGGGCGGGGGGGGGGGGGGGGGGGGGGCGCCCCACCCCACCCCACCTAAACCTGTGGCCTCAAACGCTTGTGCCATATTCAGATGTGTAGAACTCATCCACCTAACAAATGTCACTGGGTGACACCAGCAAAACCACACACAGACACATACCCGTTACAATACTGTTCTGAGCTCCCGTGAGTCTCACCTTACAGGCCAGCAAACTGAGGCTAGGAGACTTTACTAGGTCAATGATTTGGGCTTGTTCTCTCCAACACTCAACCCTTTAGCTGATTAGCTAACACTCAACCCGATTAGCTGATTAACTGACAAAAAGGAAGTATTCATACTGCTTCTGCCAGCACACTTCCTCAAAAGAAGCTCTTATCTCCCTCAATCACCCCCATTTCTGCGCGCACAGACTAAGGTTCTTTGCCTATTCACCAGGGAAGGAGACGGTGAGCTCTAATTTTGATGGACAGCTCCACTGACCAATAGAGAAGCTAAACCAACTGTAACCAATGAAGCCTCGGATTGGAGGGATTAAAACGGGGAACATGCCACCGATTGGACAGAGGTACGTTGCGAATGGCGGAGACACTGAGGCAAGTGCTAAACCGGGGTACCGCTGCCGGGACTGGAGAGGCGAACACGGCTGAGGCCGGACCGCCTTTGTTGTTACTAGGCGCTCCAGGTTCTGGAAAAACAACGCTGCTATTTGCGGCGGCCCTGGAAGCAGCAGGAGAGGGCCGAGGTCCTGTTCTCTTCATAACTCGGAGGCCTCTTCAAAGCCTGCCCCGTGGTATTGCACGGACACTCGACCCTTTGCGGCTCCAGGTATAACAGTGGGGTGGGACTAGAAGTAGCCTAGCCAGGGAAGAGGCGGATCAGGGTTTGAGCGACAGGCAGGTCGGCCAATGGCGGGGACGGTGGGAAGGCAAGTCTGAACAGTTTGACGGAGTGGCGTCGGGAATACGCGAGGGGCGGGACCGCGCGGAATTTACTTAAGATTGATTGAAACACCATCCAATCACGGGTGGGGTTAGGGAGGCGGTGCCCAAAGTTGAGTAAGGGGAGGTACTAAACATGGGTCTAGTCTGGGTTGGAGTGGGTTTCAGTGAAGCCATAGTCAAGGCTGGGGTCAGGTTTTCCTTGGAAAGGTTGCCCTATTTAGAGGGGGCGGGAAATAAGATTGGCCCTCAGTCTATACGCCACAGTCCTAAGTGCTGGAAAAATAGGTGAGAGTAGAATATTCACCGCTCTGAGCCACTATTTCCTCCTGAAGCCAGCTGTGTAGGGAGTCAGAGCCTAGTCCGGGAAAGTACGCAAAGAAGCAGGGCTTGAGCCGGGCCCGGTGGCCCAGGTCTGCAATCCCAACATTCTGGGAGGCTGAGGCCGAAGGATCGCAACTTCAAGCCCAGCCTGGGCAACTTAGTTACTTAGCGAGACCCTGACTCAGAATACAAAAATAAAAATGAGAAGAGCTGGGGATGGAGCTCATTGTAAAGGCCCTGGGTTTGAGCCCCAGTAGCGGTGTGGGAGGGAGTAGAAGCAGAGGTGCCATGTGGGCAGTCTAAGTCCTGTATTGAACCTGGCCTTTTTTTCTTTCTGAATCTTATAGAAGATTCGCTTCCAGTACCCACCCTCAACGAGAGAGCTGCTTCGGGTCCTATGCTCTGCCCATGAGGTCATGGGGCCGGTGCCCTCCCTTCTGCTGCTCGACTGCCTGGAGGAGTACCTAGCGGAAGACCCTGGATGCCAGGAGGCCACCTACCTGGCCGCCTTGCTTCTGGATACAGCTGCCCACTTCAGCCACCGAGCTGGTCCCAGCCGGCCCTGCGGGCTCATGGTGGCCCTGCAGACCCAGGAGCAAGCAGACAGCGGGGAGGCCCTGCAGCGGGCTTTGGTGCAGCGGTATTTCCCTGCGCAGTGCTGGCTGCAGGCAGACGCAGCAGGCCCGGGAGAGCATGGGTTCCAAGTCTGCCTGGAGCCAGGCGGCCCGGGCCCCAGGGAAGAGTGGCGGGTGACTTTCCAACCGGATGGAGAGATGACAATCACCCCCTGGCTTACCCACACGAAGGAGCCCAGCCAAGACAAGAGTTCAAGCTCTAGGGGTCAGCTCTGAGCTGCAGGGTGGCAGCCTCTCTCTGCCTGTTTCCCCTGGCTGGAATACTTCTTTCAGGGCCAGATGCAGAACCAAGACCTAAGGAACATAGAGTGCTTTTCTCCTCAAAAGCTAGCATTATAGGGGTTGGGGGTGCAGCTCAGGGGTGAGTGGTTGCCTAGCCAGTGTGAGGCTGTGGGTTCCATCCCCAGCACAACAAAAACAAAACTTGCATCATTGTATATAAATTATGGCCAAGCAACTTTTTTTTACTGTTTTGAACTATATAAAGAGTTTTGTTATAAATATGATCTTCTGAGGCTTCCTCCTTCCTTCTTTGCCGTTTGCATTATTACTAAGATTCAGCCAGTTTCTAGTTTATTGCTTTTTCCCTGTTGCGTATTATTCCCTGGGTGTTTACACCTCAATTTATTCACAGATTGGATTACTTACTGCTGTAAACATTCCTGCGCCCATGTCCTGGTCCATATATACTTTTAGGATATATACCTGGAAGTAGAATTGCTGTTGCATAAGGTGTACATGTGTTCTGCTTTCTTAGTTTATGCCAGACTTTTACAGAGTGGTTAAACCAGAACTGCCACCGAGTCATGTGATAATACTTGGTGTCAACACAGTGCTTTTTTTGAGACCAGGTCTCGCTATGCAGTTCAGGCTGGCCTTGAACTCACTATTCAGCCCAGGCTAGCCTTGAACTTGAAGTGATCCTCCTGCCTCAGCCTCCCAAGTGCTGGGATGACAGGCATATGCCACCATGCCCTCCTAAAATAGTGCTTGCTTAAACCACAGCCTGATTCATGATAAAGCCCTATGAGTTACTGTCATCATTAACAGCAGACCAGCTAGATGCTCGTTAAACAGCTTTCTACACCCTGAGTATTCAAGTAAACTATATTTCCCAGCATCTCTTAAGTCTAGGTGAGGTCACATGACTGTTTTTGGCCAATCAAATATGCAAGAAAGGATAGCGCTGCTTTTCCGGCCAAATCCCTAAAATGGTCCGTGGAGTTTCCTGCTGTTGCCCTTCATTGCATAACTAGCAGGATGCAGAGCCAACTAAGGACCTAAGGGAGGAAGAAGCTACATACCAGGAGAGTTTGGGCCTCAGGAGTCAGCTCAGGATGTCTGCCTACCTGCTTGAATTGAGATACTAGAGAGAAACCACTTAATGGGCTAAGTCATGAAGATATAAAGAGTTACTTGGTGTGGCAGCTCATATAACAGGTACTAATTTATTTTATTAGGGTTAGTATTCAGATTTTCAGGTCCAGAATTTCAGACTGTGGCTTGGGCACAGGGAAAGATGGGGCTTCTGGGGTGTTTGTAAAAGTCATGGTAGAAAAACTTCCATATAAATTTATATATATATATATATATATATATACACACACACAAAAGAAAAACTATACATATTTTCAGATACTGCAAGCTTGTGACTTTCTGGGCAGAATGGTTTGGGTCGATGGCCATGCTCATCAGCGCTCAGGGTGGGCTCCCCCTCCCTGTCCACAGTCTTGGGCTGGGGTCCTACGAGCAGGCCACGTAGCTGGGGGTGAGGGGCCCAGGGGTAGGGACAAGGCTGTTCTCATAGGAGTTCGAGTAGGTGTCATCGGATGGGACCCCCTGGGCTCCCTGGGAGCCCCCTGAGCTGTAATCAGTTGAGATCCCAGAGTCAGACACCACGAGGTACAGGTACTTCAGGTGGGGTGGGGTGGGGGGCAGCTCGGGACACAGCACCCGTGGGCGCAAGAGCTGGGAGCTGGGGTCCAGAATGGTGTATTCAAAGCTGGTTGCCAGGGCCTCCTCCGGCTCGGGCTTCAAGGCCAAAGCAGATGAGCAGGAAGACGCTTCGGAGTCTTTGTCCACAGCCACAATGTCAGTGCAGCCTCCAGGCCCTGGGAGGCCCTTGCCGTGCGGGCTCTGGGGCAACAGCCACTTGTCCAGCACCAGGTAGGAGTCCTGGGCATGCTCACGGCCCACCAGCTGCAGCAGGGGCCCCACATCATCTGCCCCCGGCTCAACTACCTGGGGCACCCCCCAGCAGCGCTCGGAGAGGACTTCCAGGCGGGTGGGCGGTTCCTCCGGAAAGGGGGTGCAGGGGTTCCACCACAGACAGCTGTCATGCTGTGACAGCCAGAGCTGGGGGAACAGTGGCAGCCTGCTCACAGCCCTGGGCTTCCGCTGCCAGAAGCAGGACAGGCCCAGCCCCCCAGGGACAGCCAAGCCACCTACCTGGAAGTTACCCTTATGGGTAGTGAAGAGGCCTTCAAACTCACTCTCGGGGCTTGGGATTCCAGGCCAGATCTTCTGCTTCAGAGTCCTATTGAAATCCATAGGAACAAGCCACTGAATATTCACCACTGCCCTCCCAGCACCCAGTCACAGAGGTACAAATATAAGCATCATGGAGGTAGAGGAGTCCATCCTGGCTGGGGAGCAGGGGCTTTGCCTGAAGCACAGCAAGGCCCTCCAGAAGGGTAAGCAGAACAGGGTTTTGAAGGATGCATAGGAGTTCAATATATACTGACTCATGCTCTGTCTAATCCTGGCCTAGGCTTTGCCTGGGGGTCTATGGGGTTAATTCCCTCATCACTCCTTCCCATGGTTCCCAATGTATTTGGAATAAAATCCAGGCCTGGGGGTGTAGCTCAGTGGTAAAGCACATGCTCAACACTCTCAAGGTCTTGTGTTTGATCCCCAGCACAAAACAAGCAAACAAACAAAATCCAAATTCCTCCCCACAGCCCTGCAGATCTCTGCCATCTCCTTCATGTCATCATTCACCACTTCCTCCTTGCACAGTTTCAGCCATATGGCTCTTCTTGCAGCTGCTTCAATGTCCCAAATCCATTTCCACCTCAGGGCCTTTGCACTTGCTGTTTCTTCTCCCTGATTTTTGTACAGCTGCTTCCTTCCCCCCTCCAGGCTTTTGCTGCTTCCCAGAGGCTTTCCCTGACTACCCTGTCATTTCTCCTGTGTTTGTTTCTATGACACCACTCATTTATAATCAGTTCTCTTTTGGTTTCCTTGTTTGTTTTGCTTGTCTGTCTCCTTGATTTGACTGAGATCCACCAGCTCAGGGACTTGTGGAGAGGGTCTACCTTGTTCTCTACTGTCTTTTTTTTTTTTTTTGGTATTGGGGATTGAACTCAGGTCCCTGTGCTTGCGCAGCAGGTGGTGAAACCACTGAGCTAAATCCCCGGCCCTCTCCACTGTCTTACCAGTGCCTCAGCCATAGCTGGCACTCAATTTGTATTCTCCAATCAAGTAAATGAACATAGGGCCAGAGGTTTAGCTCAGTGGTTCTGCCACCTGCCTCATAAGAGCAAGGGCCCGAGTTCGATCCCCAGTACCAAAAAGAAAAAAAAAGAGTTCATTCGAGTAAATGAACAGAGCCTCAAGAGAGAGAGAAGACTACCTAGTGGTGGAGGCAGAAGGAACTGTAGGTGCAAAGGCCTGGGGTATGGATCACCCTGAGTGTGCTTGGAATCACAACCATTTCGAAACAGCTCAGATCATAAAACACCTGACTGTGGGGGACTGGGAGGCTTTTAGGGGTTTAAATCTTTTTCTTTTTCTTTTCCCCCAGTACCGGGGATCGAATTCAGGACTTTGCACTTGCAAGGCAGGCGCAGTGCCACCGAGCTAAATCCCCAGCCCTTAAATCTTTCCACTAAGCCCAGCTGGTTGATTTGACAAAGGTGGTGGCACTGGGAAAACGGGTGATCCAAGAAGGGGCAGTCACTGAGGTAGATGGGAAACCAGGCGCAAGTGCCCAAGCATGACTCCTCGCTGTGTGACCTTGGGCAAGTGCTTGCCCCTCTCTGAGCCTAGTTTCCCCAGTGAACAGGGAGGTTCAAGGGCGGCTCACCGGCGGTGGGACAGCAGGGCAAGCACGGCCAGCAGCAGCACGATGAGCACGAGGATGAGGGACAGCGTCAGGATGAGGGGGTCCAGGTCTGGGGGGCGGGCAGGAGGTCACGTCGGCGGGTTTGCCAGGTGTTTCGCCCCAGCTCCTCCTACACCCCTCCTAGTGCCTCACCGCTAGCCGTCAGCAGCGACGCAGGCTCAGACCAGGCGCTCCAGAAGCCGCTGAAGCTGGGCTCGGCCATACGCGCTCGAACCGCAAAGGTGTAGCGCGTGGCGCCACGCAGGTTGCTGAGCACGCACTCAGTGCGGCCCTCCAGGATCTCCACCTGGGGGCGGGGCCGAGGGGAGGGGCGTCCAGAGGCACGCCTCTGGAGGGATGCAGCCAATCAGGGAGAGGAAGGACAGCACCAGGGACCAATGAGAGCAGGGAGCAGGACCCAAGAAAGCTCAAGGCCAATCAGAGCAAGGAGTCCCACAGCAAAGGGCGGGACCTGGGGTATATAAAGATGGGCCAGGCCCTTGTGGAGGAAGTTGGGATTGCAGGGTAAAAAAAGCAGGTTGGCGTTCAGGTGCATTGGAGCTGCACAGACGAAGCGGACGTGGCAGTGGGTGTGGAGTTGTCTCGGGCATGAAGGAAATAGGATGTGGGGCATCAGGGCCAAGGCCCTGGGGAAGGGACAGTAGGGTCAGGCCTCACTCTCTGCGCTCCCCCTGCACTGCTGCCCGCAGAGACGTCCACCTCGTAGCGGATGTGGGTTGTCATGGGTGCCCCAGGCGGCGGCAGCCAGCGAAGCATCACTTGGCCGCTCTCCTCCGCCCGCCGTGCCTGCAGCCCCGTGGGGGCGTCCAGGAGCACTGCAGATGGGGGCAGGTCAGGAGCGTGGAGGCCGAGATCCTCCTCCCACCCCACTCCTGCATGCCCCGCACACTCACCCACTTCGTTGATGTGGATGACCCGGTGATAACGCGGGGAGCCGGAGGAGGCCTCCGTGACGCGCAGCTCCAGGGGCACGAAACTCGACGTGTCGGCCGTGGGCAGCGAACACCAGAAGCGCACGGCACCCAGGGTGGTGGGCGCCTGGTGCAGGTGACAGGGCTTCCGAGGCTCGCCCCTGTGCATGCCGGGACCAGAAAGGGGAGGGAGCACATTGGGGGCAAGGGAGGGGCTGAGAAATTTGTGCAGCCCAGACCGTGGGAGCAGTTTTTTTTTTTTTTTTAAGACAGCGTCTCGCTATGTAGCCCAGGCTGTCCTCGAACTCCCTGCGATCCTCCTGCTTCAGCCTCCCCAGTAACAGGCATGCACCACCACGCCCGGTCGTGGGAGCATTTTGATTACTACCACGAGGGGGCGTCCCAGCTCTAATTAAGGACTCCCGAGCCCAGAGTTGAAGGGGGATTGTTCCAGCCTTGATGTTTGGGGTCGCCTCTCAGAAGCAATCAAGAAGCATTCCAGCCCCGGCCACTAGGGGGCTCGCCAGCCCGACCCTGTGGGGTTCCTACCACAGGAAGCGCCATCCAGACCCCGGACCCCAGGTGACATCTCAGGCTGCGACCACCGGGGAGCCCCCCCCCCATCCATCTTTGGGAAGCTGGCCTCTTGCAACTCACTCGAGCTGGTAGGAGAAGGTATAGTTGCTGGAGGTGACCCCGGAGCTTGCTTCTTCCTCCCAGAAACACACCAAGTCCTCCAGCCGCTCCGTGAAGCAGAGAAGCTCTTGGGGCCCTCGGGCCACCAGCAGGGCCGCTGGGGAGGTGGCCGTGGGAGAAGGGGGTCAGAGCTGCCCGGCCCTGCTCTCTGGCCCCAGCCCCCTTCCCCTCCCTCCCTCTGCCTGTGAGGACCTGATAAGAAAAAAGCCCCGCCCCGCCCTCTTCCCCCGCCGGGCCCTCCAGGGTCTGCAGAGGGGGCCCCCCTCGAATTCCCAAGCGCAGGTTGCTTCCCCCCTCCCCACGAACACGCGCGCACGCCGACCCCGTGCGGGCTGAGCTGCACGCAGCTTTGGAGACCTCAGGGCCCCGCTGCGCGCCCCGCCTCCGGCAGCCCAGGACCCGCAAGCCCACGGGTGGGTGTGGATGAGGCGGCCCCTATCGGCCCCCCGCAGGCTCCCTGCTGCCCGATAGCTCCAACCGTGTCCCCCGCCCCCTTCCTCCACCCGGAGGGACAAGGGACCTGGTGCCAGCCACAAACTGTGTTTACAGGCATCCAGGCGCCAAGGCCCTCTGGCTTGGACCGGGGCTCTGTCCTGTCCACCACTGGAGGGTCAGCGGGTCCCCTCCCTCCGGGGACTCAGACTTCGGGGAGATGACTCACCCCACCCCCACCCCCACCCCCGGCGCATTATCAGGGAGCAAGTGCCAGACTCCCTGAAAAGATGCGGCAAGGACCTTAGGCACCTCTGTGCCTCCTCCCCGAGGCCCCATTCCAGGGGCTCAGACCAGCAGCTTGTTTCATTAGGGTCCGGTTTAGGGGTTCAGGCATCAGCTTGGCCCCCAGGACCCAGCGTGGGAATCCAGGCCCCAGTATTGCCCTCGGGGGGGACCCAGTGTAAGGGCCCCCACAGGCATCGATCCTTACCTTTGCTCTCAAATTTGGGGTCTGGAGAGTTGGGTAGGGGCGCCCAGGCTGCCCCAGCCAGCAGGAGACAGAGGGGGCCAACTCGGGGCCAGAGGGGCGCCCCGAGGTGGTCCATGATGCCGCCTCCGCCCCCGGGGAACCCAGGGGTTCTGGCCCCCCCGGTCCCCCGCCCTTGGCACAGGGCACAGCTGGGTCAGCAGCTGCCTCCGCCGGACACAGCTGACCAGGCCTTTCCCAGCCCGGGGCCTCCAGCGGCCCCTCCCCAAGGGGCGTGGCCCGCAGCAGCCTGGCAGCGATAAGCTCCCGAGGGAGAGGGAGGGGGAGGGGGCGGGCGGGGGCGGGCGGGGGCGCCCCGGGCCCAGCGGCCCCCAGCGGGGTGGGAACAGATCCACCTGCAGCTTCACTTTTTTTTTTTTTTGGACACACTTTTCTTTTGCTATATGACCCTGGACGTGTGTCCTCCCTTATCAGAGCTTTAGTCTTCTCATCTGTAAAATCTAGCCCGGTGCATAGCAAGCATTTCAAAAATGTAAGCTACCGATAATATCCTGCTAATCAGCATCTCTCCCCAGCCAGGAAATAAAATAATAATCATGACTGTTTCAAAGTCACGAAATAGTTGTTGACTGTTTTTGCGCAGTGCACAGCCAAACTACCAGGAAGTGTACAATAGTTGATGGAAAGGTAGGGCAAATGCTTTAAATTAAAGAAATGACTTATTACAATGAAAGACTCACTGCCAGGAACAATGGAATAATAGTGTTCAAGGTGAGGGGAAGTATTGTAGTATTTTGAGGGAGGTTAATGGCCATGTGTATTTTACTATAACAAATTTTTAAATTTAAACATTCACTGTATTTTTATTAAATCTTTATGGCAATTTCTGTCAAAAACATGACTGTGTGTCTGTATCCACTTTATTGACCAGATCTGGCACCGTGCAACTTGAGGGTCTTCCCAAAAGGCAAAATGACCATGAAAGGAAGCAATTTGAATCAGTTCAGGACATCCAGGCAGTGAGGATAGCACAAAGAACACTTCCAGACCTGCTGCAGAAAGTGCCAAGGATGAGGGAGAAGTGTGCTCAAAACAAGAGGCAGCACTTTGAGGAAATTAATGACAATGTGTCTTTTACAGTAATAAAAAATTTTTAAATTTAAACAGTCACCATATATTTTGATCACGTCTCATAGTCCTTTGTTTTTTGTTTTGGTTTGAGTTTTTTTGGTACCGGGAATCGAACCTAGGATCTTGCGCTTGCCAGGCAGGGTGGCACCACTGAGCTACATCTCCAGCCCTCTATAGTCCTTTATTTGTGAAATTATACATACAGTATCTTGGATTGTGATGTTTCCCTTATGAAGTTTTGAAATAATTACTGCCTACAGTGTTTTTGTTTTGTTGTTTGAGACAGGGTTTCACTATGTAGCCCAAGCTGGCCTTGAACTAACAGTGATCCTCTTGCCTCAGCCTTCTGAGTGTTAGGATTACAGGTGTGCACCACCTTGCCTGGCTCCTGCCTATACTTTTTTTTTTTTTTTTGGTACCGGGGATCGAACTCAGGTCCTTGCGCTTGTGCAGCAGGCGGCATCCTGCCTATACTTTTATATGGTTGGTGTTTCATTTCATAATGTTTCAGAGATAAGGTCTCACTATGGTGCCCAGGCTGGTCTTGAACTTATGGCCTCAGGAGATCCTCTTGCCCCAGACTGTTGGAGTAGCTTGGACAACAGGAGCATGCCATCACATCCTGGTGTTGGTGTTTTATTTTATAAGAAGTGTGCAGTTCTTTTACTAATCCAGGAGACAATTATAAAAGAAGCCATAAAGCTGGGTATGGTGGTGCAGTCCTGTAATCCCAGCACTCTAGGAGGCTGAGGCAAGAAGATCAAGTCCTGCTTGAGCAATTTAGCAAAACCCCGTCTAAAAACGAAAAATGATAAGGGGCTGGAGGTGTGACTCAGTGTGAAGATCCTGGGTTCAATCCTCAGAAACAAAAATAAAAATTAGAAGGGCATAGTGCCACGTGCCTGTGATTTCAGCCCTGTGGAGACTCAGGCAGGAGGATCGCCCTAAATTAGAGGCCAACTTGGACTACATAGTGAGTCCAAGATATTCCAGGACTACACAGTGAGACTTTGTGTCAACAAACTGCAAGAAAGAGAGAGAGAGAGAGAGAG